CCCAACATGAGTAATGTTCCTCAATACGGCTAGGGGAGCTTTCGCTGCCATCAAAGCCCCACTCAATTGCAGAAACTCTCCGTTTGTAACAAGACAACCCGCGCGTCTGGTCTAAATTCCTTGCTGTCCGTGTGTCTATCCTGCTGGATGGCCCTAACGTGCATTCTAATTTCAGGCGCATTTCGCAATTGGACAAGTTGTGGCAGCCTGAATTCAGTAATTCTGCGCGTATTCCTCTCCTTCTCATCTTCCAAACCTTTGTCTAGTCGCGCGCGCCCAGCGCTAACTCATCCGCTTAACCCTGCTCGCTCTTCTACTTTTGCACCCCCGCTGTCAACGTGCCTTCGCCCGTAGCTAATCGATTCCTCGCGAGCACTGATGCCAACACCTGCACCCTGTCCTGATTGGCTGATGAGTGGACAAGGCTTTGCTAAACCCGCGCGCATAGACAATTTTACACCAACTCGACTGGTGTCTGTACGCGGTGCTTGCAGCAGCTACTGCGAAGCCTCTTGAGCAGTAAAGTTGTCCGAATTCATTTAGTCTCCCCAGACTTGTGATTTAGGGATCCTTCTGGTGTCGAGACAGCAACTAGCCCTCAATAAAGTCGCGGAAATAAACCTTTCTCCGCGTGTCTTACCACTCTTATTCAGAGAAAACAATGTTTCATTTACAACGGAACCTTGGTTAACGCGTTTCATCCGCTCCAGTACCGAGCTCGTCAGGTGAAACGCTCGTTTTGCGAAAAGTAGCCAATCAAATTGCATCAGCTTGCTGATTGGCTGCAGACGGCCGATGACCCACGCCCGGGGAGCTAGACAAAACGGCGGATACAAGAAAACACACCCAAAGGCAACTCGTTAAGTGACCAGAAGCGCGTCAATCGAAACAAACCTTCTGTGAGTGGCTCGCTCGTTACCTGAAGTGCTCGTATATGGTGCTACTCGTCAGCCAAGGCTCTACTATACATGGTTGACTAGAACATCTCCTCTCAGGGCTATAGAAGTATGAATGGCTTTAAAAGGAGCCCAAAACAGGGGGTCACATACAATCGCTTGCTGGCCAACAGCGCAATGAAGGTGGAGATAAGTTCCAGGTAGGAAGTTGGCGTGACGTAGTTGAACCGACCGAGCTCCACCTTGTAGCGCAACGCCAATTTCTGGGTGCTGGTGTGGAAGTACTTGCAGAGGTCGATGCAGCCGCTGCGCACATCATTTGCCAGTTCAACCTGACCCAGGGCACGAGTTGCTACGGCCGTCAGGGCATCCTCTGGCCAGGGCTAAAAGTCAAACAAACAGGGCATGTTTAGCTGCAGTGACACTGGTTACGATCTCTCTCTCGCCCTCTCTCTCCAATAAAACTAACCTTGACCTTAAACGAGATAATATTGTTTCATGGAAGGCCTACCGCCAAAGACAACGAAGAATGAGACAGCCGTTTCTTGCCTACTTTTTTGCCACAAATACTAACTTAAAGTCCAGATACGCGTGCTTCGCCAATATTCTGCCGCTTCTTTGGGAAAGTTGACACTTTAATGCGTAAATTTTCGAGACTGGTTCCCCAGCTCGTCTTCAGACCTTTGTCTGGAAACTAACTTTTCATTCTCAGATCAGTACTACCGACAACGTAAAGGGGCCCCCATGGTCTCACCCATATCCAGCTTCCTGGCCGAAGCTGTAATGCAGAAGTCAGAAGCAATAGAACTCACTACAACCAAACCAAAACTCTGGGTGAGCTGTGTAGATTATACGTTTGTCATCATCAAGAAGAAGGATTTAGACCTCCTCCACAATAAGCTCAATTCCACATTCCCAGGAATTGAATTTGCATTCGAAACGAAGGCTGATGGACAACTCCCATTTCTAGATGTCCTTGTACATTGAAATATTGATGCTTCCTTCCGTACACCTGTTTATCGTAAAGAAACATATTCGGAGGTCCTGCTACATTTTGAGAGCAACCACCAAGTTTCCAACAAAAAGAACGAATTAAATACCCTTTTCAATTATGCTCCAAAAATCGATATCCACGACATTTCGGGCTTCAGTGCATGAAATGACAAGAACCCAAGGAAAAAGGCATTTCAAATGATATGGCCAACCAGAGATCGAAAACACTAAGCTGGCGAACTATCTCATACGTAAAAATGTATCTGAGCTTGTCAAAAGACAGCTAAGAAAACATCAGATACAAGTGGCACACCAACCCGCAACCATCTTACAATCACAGTTTGTACACCCTAAGGGCAGGGTTGGCTATCTTGAAAGGAAAGGTGTTGTCTACAGGATCCGGTGTTGCAGTTGTTATGCAGTTTACCGTGGCCAAACTGCCTCAACCCACATACATCAACGTCAATCAGCGGTCAGAAGACGAGACCATTTATCCCAGGTGGCCATGCGCACACTGGAAACCGGCCACCAATTCGCATGCGAGAATACACTGATTGTTGGCACTTATCCAGCTAGAAAAGGCCGTGAATTCCTGTAAGTAAGGCACTCAGCCGAGGCATGTATCAACAGGTATCTCGATCTGGCACCAGCTAAAAATTACCTCAAGACCAAGTTCAACGCGTGTGGCCAACCATGACAGGATGACGACGAAATGTATTAACGCCTATTGGCGCAGATCACAGCTAATTGTGTTATAGTTTGCTAGACGCTGTTCATTAAGTTAATTGTTCCCGTACATATCCCATAGTCTGACGACGAGCTGGGGGACCAGGCTCGAAAATTTACGCATTAAAGATTCAAGTTTCCCAAGGAAGCCCTCCTCTTCTCGGTAAAAAATATTTCTTTTGCATGTAGCGATAGCAAGGGATAAGCTGGCACACAACTTAAGCAAGAAGGACTTGACCGCCTAGGTGAATGGTCCAAAAATGGTTAATGCGGTTTATCTTTGAGAAGTGTGTCACATTGCGGCTCAAGACGAAGAAAGCGAGCGCGATGGGCGACTCTCACAACTACGTACTCGATGGAAGGTGCCTGTCGAACGTTACCGAACAAAAAGACCTGGATGTCACTATTCTGTCATCACCGAAGCCGTCTTTGCAGTGTGTTAGAGCTGCCAAGAGGGCGAATAGTGTCATGTTCGCCAGTAAGCGAACTTTTATCGACATAAACAAAAAAAACTATTTGGCAAAATATACGGGACATTTATTCGCTCGCATCTGGAATATGGAGTTCATGAGTGGCAACCATGGCTGCAAAAAGACTACCAGATGATGGAAAGAGTTCAACAAAGGGCAACGAAAATTGTGAAGGGTCTAAAGTCCTCATCTTACGAATTTCGACTAGAAGCACTTAACGTTTTTCTCTTAAGTATAGG